AAAGGTTGATTCCAACAGCTGTCGGGAGCAGAAGTAGCAGTTTCTTCTACGTCTTACCTTTGAAAGGAACTGGAAGAGCGGAGCGCTTCGCGGTAGCATGGGTAAGTCTTGTTCCATGGAACTGCTTTTTTCAGCTATCGGAGACGGTGTGTGTACCGAGTTCGCTACTTAGGATGGATTTTTAACCGTGGATCCCAATCAAAAAGATTTTGAAAAGTACAAATGGGAAGCGTTTTATCATCCTGGAACCAGGTGGGGAGTGGACCTTGGCCAGTAGACTTCTAGTGTTTAAACGGCGTTTACCTACAGCTATTTGGGCCACTGACCTCAAACTTTCAAAACGTAAAGGAGGAAAGTAAATACACTTTCAAGAAAGCAGGACTGGTTGAATTGTCTTTGAAGTTGCATTTTTAAATTTTGTTCTAAAAAATTGTATAAAATTGTGTTGTAAAAATTTTGTATAAATATTGTATCTCATTGCAAGAAATGGCTAGGTCTATTTTATGTTAAAATGTTTAAATTATTTATTATAAAGAGTAAACTTATTTTCCTTTCTTTCCTCTTCAATTATCTCTGCAAATGGCACTACCATCCACCCAATTACTTGAGCAAAAAATTGGACCGCTCACTCATTCTTGCTTCCTGTTTCTCTTACCCCCTTTATCCAACCCGACAGCAAGTTTGGAAGGCTCTATCTCCATTTTCCCTCTCTCCCTCCATTTCAGCTCCGCTGCTACCACATGCTGCAAACCACCGACATTCTTTTCCTAGATTACTAAATAGCCTGAGGGATTTTTTTCTGCTTTCACTCTTGCCTCCCTTAATCCATTCTTCACAAATCAGCTTGAGTAGTCTTTTAACCTAAATCACAGCGTGCTAATTTCCTTGTTTGAAAGAAACCCCTTAATGGTTCCCATCGGTTTGGGAATGACATGCAAATGGCTCCGTCCTGCACCGTCCTCAAGCTTATCTCAGACCTCTATGGTCTTTGCCCGCCATTTTGTGTAATAAGCATGGCTTTCATTGCAGTCCAGCAAGCTAATCCCTTTGTGCTTTCTGCTGCAGCCTGGAAAGAACACTCTTCTTCCACCTCTTTCACCTGGCTAATACTTTTCTTCTTTTTCAGGCTGGGTCTAATGCTTCCTTGGAGGCCTTTACAGACATTCTTTTTAAAGATAGCCTCCCCCTACTTTTCCTCTTATTGGTTTCATTTCATAGCATTTTTCTCAACCTGAAATTATTTTATTTACCATTTTATAAAAACTTTATTTACATTTCTGTCTCACACAGATAAAAATGCTATGAAAACCAGGGACTTTATCTTCTTCGTTGCTCTAAGTGGTCAGCACCGTGGGAATTCCCTCGTGGTTCAGTGGTTAGGACTCCTGACTTTCATTGCCGTGGACCCGGGTTCCATCCCTGGTGGGGGAACCAAGATCCCGCAAGCCGGGCGGCACGGCCAAAAATTTAAAAGAAAAAAAAAATTTTTTAATTTAAAAAGAATTTTTAAAAAGGGTTATTAGCACCTAGAACAAAGTTTGGTACTAAATATTTGTATGACTGAATGATTGAATAAGTAAATGATGCACCCTTGGAACTACTTCTATCACAATTTGAGAAATATAGAATATAGTGTATAGTCTCATGCCATTAAGTAATTCATGTAACATCCTATACTATGTTTAACCATTACGTTTTCCATGTGGTTATTTCTACCAAAGGAGAATATAGTTTATCAACAGGAGTATTCTCATAATAAATAAGTTACCATTTCAATTTATACATTGTTCTCACAGGCTTGCATATTGTGTGAGAAATGGCATAATGCTCAGACATCTGACAAATAAGAATCTAGTTTAGAAAGGTAAGGGCTGTACTTGGACCCTGGTAAATTCATAAAGAAAATACCTTTCTCTCAACCCTGATCTCATAGATGTTGTTCTAGATAACACCTTGGCATCATTGATAGACAACTTTATGAAACTTCTACCTTAAGCGTGTCTAACATCCCAAATAAATTTCTAGTAAATTAATTTTATAAGATTGCTAAATCAGATATCACCAGTCTGATGACTAAATGCATATTCATCAATTCATTTCATTAGACAAATGTAGTAAGTGCTGGGGCATGTGAATAAGACAGGAGAGGCCCTTGCTCTCTTAAAGCTTACAGTCTAGTAGATAAGACAGGGCTTAAATAATCAGAACCAAGGGGCTGTGGTCAGTGTAAAATAGGGAGCTAGGAGAGCGTTTAGCTTGGAGACCTAATTGAGACTAAGAGTCAAGGGAAGCTTGCCTGAGCAAGTGGCGTTTAGGCAGAGATCTGAAATGCAGGTGGGAAGTAAACCTGTGCATGCCCCATCTGTGCACATGCTCATAGGTAAGGGGGATTGAGAGTGGGTAGTTTTTTGGGTTTTTTTTAATTGTATAGTTTGGTATTTATCCTAGTTTTTTTTTTTAATTGAAATGTAGTTGATGTACAGCAATATTATGTAAGTTACAGGTGTACAGTATGAGGGTAGAGAGGAAAGAGCATGGCACTTTATTGGAAGGAGACTTTATTATGGCTGGAGATGAAATAGGAGAACTGGAGATGGCAAGAGATAAGTTTGGAGAGAAAAGCTGGAATCAAACCAATTGTAGCTATTTTAAATGGACTAATTGAGGGAGGGAACTTTTGTGTTCTTTCCTACTTAAACTTTAGATCTAGAGATTTTGCTCCAAAGGTGCTTGCTATATGCACTAATACAAAGTGAAATGAAAATTATTTTTAGCTATGAGAGCACGATTTTGTTAGGCAAATATTGCTGGATACAGTCTCCCTGGTTTATTTCACCTTTATAAAGGACAGAATAAATAATAACACATGTACCACTAACATTATATATTAGGAATATAACATATAAACAGCTTGAACATATTTTTTTAAGATTTTTTTTTTGATGTGGATCATCTTTAAAGTCTTTACTGAATTTGCTACAATATTGCTTCCATTTTATGTTTTGGTTTTTTGGACACAAGGCATGTGGGATCTCAGCTCCCCGACCAGGGATTGAACCTGCACCCCCTCCATTGGAAGGTGAAGTCTTAACCACTGGACCGCCAGGGAAGTCCCTGAAAATATTTTTAGATAGCCACATTTAAAAATAACCTCCTCAAAAGAATCATGCTATTCTTGGCAAAAGAAAAAAATACAATGAAAACAAAACATGCATTTCAATTGGTAAGGGAAGAGGTTTAAATGTCTTCTTAAACATGAGTATGTATATTACATAGAAATATATATTTATTTATATAATATATGCATATATTTAAGAAAAAATTTAAACCTCTTCCCTGAGCAATTTATATATAAATATTTGATTTATACTTAAATATATATAATGAAAATATTAATTATATATTTATTTGTAAATATGTATATATGAATGCTTAAGAAGACACTTTAAAATCTCTCAGCAGTTTTTAAATGTCATAGATAACATTCATATATATTTTATATAAGTAAATATATAATTAATTTTATTTGTAATTTATATAGTATATTTACATATATAAATATGTATATGTGTATATATAGTGTTTAAGAAGGCATAAACGCATGTTTTGTTTTCATTCTATGTATTATTTTACCAAAAGTAAATGGCACAAACTTTTTGAGGTGGCATTTTTTAATGTGGCTATTTAAAAACATTTTCAAGCTATTGATTTTCATTCCAGTACTTTCACATTTGCTCCTTTTTAAAAGCATTTAATTTTTGTTCCTACAGCAGGACATCAGGATGCTAAAATTAAGAGATCTTTTATAAGACACAATGGTAACATTAAGCAAAGGACTCTTAGAAAGAATATAATATATTCATGCTGTAACTTTCATAGTACTACTTATAGATTTTTAAGAAAAGGATCAAAAACCACTCATTCCCCTGTGCCTTTATTTTGACTTGCGCTTATAAGAGATGGCAATACATATATTTCACATGGCTTATTCTCTGGATCCCCATCTTATAGAACAAGGGTGGGCAAACTACAGCCATCCACCAAATCAGTCTCTGCTGTGCACTGCCCATCCTCTGTGTACTGTCTGTAGCTGCTTCTGTGCTACAGTGAGATTGAATAGCTATGACATAGGCCCTAGGGCCCACAAAGTTTAAATCAGGCTCTTTACAGAAAAAGTTTGCTGCCCTTGGTCTAGAACAGTACCTGGCACTTAGCAGGATCCAACATCTACTTATAGAATGAATACAAAGGTAAACTAACAGTAGCTCACATGAGTGGTCAGCATTTGGTCTATGCCATGAACTGTGCTAAGCACTTTAAATGCAATATTTAATTTGAATTTCACAGGAGTGTTACATAAGAATAGGCATTTGCTCCCTCACCTCCTTTAAGTTTTTAGTCAGCTGCCACTACCTCAGTCAAGATTCACCTGGGGAAAAAAGAAAAAGATTTACCTGGAGCTCCCTATTTAAAATTGCAAGCCCCTGCTTTCTACCAGTCCCTTGGCTTATTCTATAGTGCTCTTTGCCTTATAACATACAATGTACATTACTTATTTATTTTGTATACCCCATGGGGCATACATTACATTTTGGGTATAATATATCTATTCACTGGTGTGTCTCAACCCATGAGTAGCCTAGAAAAGGGCTAGCACATAGTGAGTGCCCAATGAACGTTAGGTGATCAATTAGGGAGGGCAGATAACTTACAGGGGATACCCAGGAAAGAAATGTTTATGACCCATGTCTTACGTACATATGTCACAGCTAATTCTCTTACTCTCTTGCAGAGTTAGTCAAAGATGTAAATGTAGTGATTCTGTTATTGGAAAGTGAGTTCTAGGATATTTTTTGAGGTCCTGTTCTGACAATGGCTCTAATATTGGAATATATTTTACCTAATGACTACTATCTCAAACAGGTGCTTGCTGAAAACAATTCACGAAGTGGTTGATCTATTCTGGTGCAAACCTTCACGGAGGGAGCTAGCAGAACGACATGGACCAGAAACTGAAGAAAAGGGAAAAGACATTTGGCCAGAAAGGCCTTGGTAGAAGAGCCGTCAGTGGGGACAAGTCACCGCCAGCCCCGCAGAAACCTCCTGACACGACGTGGACCTTATGTGATGAGGAAGTGTGCTATGAGACTAGCTTTCGGGTTGTTGAAGAGGATTCCTTCTCTGACTGTTACATAGAATGCATAATAAGAGGTGAGTTTTCTGAACCTATCATGGAAGAGGACTCACTTCTTAAGTCCTTTGACTGTCTGAAACAAGGATCAGAAAAAGAGCTTTCTCAACAGGTTCTTACGGCAAGCTCACTTCTTGAACGTTCCTTGGAATACATGAAAAAGGGGGCAAAACAAGAACTTCCTCAACAGTTTGGTGGAGAGAATTCACTTCTTGAGTCTTCTGAGTACATGACAGGCAAGAAGCTTCCTCCTGGAGAAATACCCAGCATTGACTTTCCAGATCCTAAACAGCTCACGGAATGTACTAAAATGAAGCCAAGTACAAATAAAGAATATGCTCCAGAAAAAATTGTTTGTCCTGAGAGTGGATGCATAAGAGAGTTCAAGAATAGAGCATCCCTGAGAAAGCATCTCCGAGTTCATAGTCCCCGAGATCACGTATGTGCAGAATGTGGGAAAGCCTTCAAGGAGAGCGCAAAACTAAAAAGACATTTTCTGGTTCATACTGGAGAGAAGCCATTTCCGTGTACTTTCGAAGGGTGCGGAAAACGTTTTTCCCTGTCCTTCAATTTGCGTACACATGTGCGCATCCACACTGGGGAGAAACCTTTTGTATGTCCCTTTGAAGGCTGTCTCAAGAAGTTTATTCAGTCAAATAACATGAAAGCGCACCTCTTAACTCATGCAAAGGCCGAAATGAGTCAATGAAAGAAGATGGAAAATAATCCTCAAACAGGATAAGCATATTAACAAAAGAATGGCAACAAATATGCCTCATTGATTATTGTTTCAGGAAACAATTTTTAAATCAATATTGCCACCCTACAAGGTATATTTTTTTTTAATGTTACTAAGATAGATGCTCCTATAGTCTGTGATGTTATTTTAGAACTTTGTGTAAAATTATAGTGCAGTTCCAATAATAATGTCAGTAATGAACTTACTTCAAAAGCATAATCCTTAATATATGACAAATTGGATTTTTGGATATGGGACTTAATATCTCATACTATAAGTAGGAAATTAACTTTGCTTTTAAGTTTGTAGTTTCCAACTGTTTAGCTTTTTCCTTTTATACTTAATACACATGATAATTCTAGAGAATGAAAATTTTGCAGCCGATTGTCAATAAGTGAATTAGTTAAAATTTTTAAGTTAAATATATTGTTTAATCATTTTATTTTTGTATTTTATCATTGTATCAAACTATACTGAAATCATATAGTAGATGTAAATGGTTATTTGATAGTGTCAATCCATTTGAATCCATTTTAGATATTTTTAAATAAAAGGAAATAAAACCCCAGAAATCAAAGAAGTGTGCATTAAAAAGAGATGCCATTTATTTGTCTTCAGAATTAGCAAAGCATGGCAAAAATTGACTGTTCGGTATCAGTGAGGTGTCAGGGGGAAGTTGCTCTCCTACAAGGTCGGTTAAGGGATGTTGTCACCCGCCATTTGGGGAGCGGAATGCTAGATCAGTTTTCTAGGGCTGCCATAACAGCCAACTGGGTGACTTAAACAACAGATATTTATTGTGTCATAGTTCTGGAGGCTAGAAGTTCAAAAAAAGATATCGACAGGATTGGTTCCTTCCTAGGGTTGTGAAGAAAAGCTCTGTTCCAAATGTCTCTTCTTGGCTTGTAGATGACTGTCTTCATGTTTACATGGCATTTTCCTGTATCTTCACATTGTCTTTCTTCTGAGCATGTCTCTGTTCAGATTTCCTCTTAAAAGGACACCAGACATACTGGATTAGAATCCACCCTGATGCCCTCATTTTAACTTGGTCTATAAAGATGCCCATCGCCAAATAAGGTTACATTCTGAGGTACTGGGGGTTAGGATTTCAACATGGATTTTTGAGTGTACATAGTTCAAACCATAACGTGCACTTTTTTAGACCCAATAATTTCATTTCTAGAATTCCATTCTACAGAATATGTTCACTAATGTACAAAGATAATTTGTTCAAGGATTTTCACTAAAGTATATTTCAATAGTAATTTGATTCATAACTTGAATGTCCATTAAAAGGGAACAAGTTGCATAAATCTTAATACCTCTATTCAATAGGAAATGTGCAAATATCCTTAAAGGAAACTTGGCTGTAAAGGGAAGGAAAGAGGTCCACAGCCAGAGGGAAGCCATAGAGTAGGAGGAAGTCTGATGTTTAAGATTTAAGACACCATTGGAGAAAATGGTAATATGTACCATAAACAGCTTTTCAGGAGAAAAAAAAGTCAACATACAATATAAACAAATCAAATTTAAGATTAATCTTTTAGAAATGCCAAAATGTAAAAGTACATATGATTTTTTAAAAAGGAAAAAAAATCAAGGACTTTTTTACTTAGAAATGATCTAATTATTACTGTGGACTATTATGGAAAAATTTAATTTTTTATTTATAATATATTTGGTGTGGAATTTATACCATCATTTCTATAGAAATGTGGGTCCAGAGTCTCTAAGTTAAAAGGAATACAGGATACATAATCCATTCATAAATTTGGAATTTCCTCTGAATCAGACACCTGAGTATAGAATTTAGGATGAGAGTTCGGTGTTTGATCAAGATGATGAATCATATGTTTGTCTGGTTTTTGCTTTGACAGCAGTATATTTAATTTGATCCTCTAGGAATTTCTATTCCAAAGTTGAATTAGAGTTGCTATTAGAATAACACCTTTGAGGACTAGGTGAAAGGCACTAGGTAAAAGGTGGGATTAAATAGAGAGAAGTCAAGACTAGATAAATTCATTGGCGGGGTTTAGGCTGTAAACTTGAGACCTGGGACTAGGGCATCAAGAAAGATCAAGATTGGTTTCCCCTATGTGTGGAGGCTGGTCTGCTTCTGGAGACTACCCTTTCTGGAACTGAAGGGGCCAGAGTCTCAGTATTTACAACCCTAACGCGAAAATGTACAAGGAACATCAATCTGAGAAAGTGCTTGTGTATCTGGATGCCAAAGCTTAGTTAAATTCTGACTTGGGAATAGGATGTTAGTTGGCCAGTCTCCTAACTGTATTTTGGGGTTTTTTTGTTTCCAAAGAAGAACCCTAAAATTGTTAAGAATGTAACAGGAAGAAAGCATGTGGATATAACGAAAAAAGAAAAGATGGGAAAGGAGATTAGCTAATGAGGATATGTCATCTGAAATCTTTGCTAATGTTTCAGAAAAGAAATGTACATATACTTTCCACATTTGTATTTTAAGTCAGAAGAATGAACACAAGATATGTGAATACATAATCCAGAGAAAACTACAAAAGAAAATCAATCCATCTAGATTTTTACGTCTCCAGATACTGGCATTTTACAAACCCCAAATCCTGATGAATAAATAAACATTTTTGTTTTCATGCTGGTATTTGGATTCATGGCCTGTATGTTTTTTCTTTCTTTCTTTCTTTTTTAATGGCCAAAGGTTAACAGTTAAAAGGTAACACTAGAGAAATAACATTCTACAAAAAACTGAAAATCTTAAGGCAGAGCTCATCACTGTAACAGGGCATAGTTAGTTGGCACTTAATAAATTATGGAATGAATAAGTGTGTAAAAATAGCTTAATATGCTTTTTAAAAGCTATAAAGTTATCAAAATTATGTGTAATTCAGAAACAGCTAATAAAACATTACTTGCCTTTACATAAAATCTGGTTAGTCCAAAATAAAGGTGGAAACCACAGAAGTGTTTAATTACCTATGCATACATCAGCTCCTACTCCCCAAAAGTAATCACCACTCAAAAAGGATTTAACTGTTATATTGTTTGATCGTTTTTGTTAACAGTGAAAATTATCTTAAATCCCATTATCTTTTATTTTTTTCTGTCTTCCTCCTCTAAAAGGGACAGGAGACTGAGGGTTTGTTCAACTCCTAACATCTTGGATAACGAAGAACTATCCTGCCTTGAGAATTATATCTACCAAGGCTGTGATTAGATAGTGAGCAATGTGTTAAACCACTTATATTCCTACTTTAAATTAGTTTATTTTATTCTCTGTGATATGTGCACAGGTCTCCCAAACAGTCATACTTGATTTCTGTATTTTGCCTTAGCTACAGTGTGCATTGGTGGACATAAGATTTCCATCCTATTTTATCCAGAAAGAATTCTGTGCAAAAGCAGAATTGTCAGATTCTTATATTACTTTCCTGCCAAATAGGCATTTGCAGAAATCTGTGTGTGCTTATGTTTTAATTACCTAATGTACTGGCTCTGACTGAATAAATTGTATGATTACATCTTACACTGGACACAGAACAGTGCAAGTCATATTAAAAAGCCATTATATTTGCAACTCGGAGCAAGAGACTATAATTAAAAGGCAATTGGATGAAATTAGCTTTGAAAGTACAAGAGTTTAAGCAGGATTTGGTAAATGAACATTAACGGTTAACATGTGCTCTTTATTAGGTCTTTTGCTTCTTCTATGACCCCAGGGTTGAATTTCTTTAATGTCAGTGGATCAGACATGTGAAAACACCTGTACGAAGCTATGCTTTACAATGTAGCTAAAGTTATATCCATAAAAAAAGCCAACATTAACTTTTGTGACTTTAGTAAATCAAGGTATTAGGTAGACTAGAATGATATCCTAGGCATTAATAAACTTTTTAATACTCCTAAGATCTTGGGTATGTGTCATAAAAAGCATACTACATGCTTCTTGCAACTCAAAATGTTGACCATAAAATACACATGTACAAATCAAAGAAGTAATAGAGAATTTTGATTATCATGGCCATTAAATAGTTTAAAAGTTGTTAAAGTTATACACAATATGTGTAGTAGCACCCCATCTTTACCTAAGGCAACCAATACATTTGCAAACTGCTGAGAACTTAGCACGGTACTGATACTTGGCAGGATCGGGGGGGAGCAGTGGAAATCTTTGTGCTTATCAGATACATATGCCTAAAATATCATAGTTATGGCAGATTAGGGATGGCTGCAAATTCTTTGCTACTCTTCCAGTTGAGAGTTGAGGTCTATGTCCTTTCCCCTTGAGTCTCTGCTGGTCTGCTTTGATCAATAGGGTATGGTGTAGGGACTGCCCTGGTGGGGCTATGGTTAAGACTCCGTGCTCCCAATGCAGAGGGCCCCAGTTCGATAAGGAGCCTGCCTGCCAAAACTAAGACCCGGCGCAACCAAATAAATATTTTTTTAAAAATAGGGTATGGTGTAAATTATGCTGTAATAGCTATGCCAATTCCAGGCCTAGCTTTTAAGAGGCCTGGCAGCTACTGCCTTGCTCTTGTAGAAACCAACTCTCATCTTAAGTATGACTACCCTAAGACCACCATCCTGGGAAAACCAGCAGCTGTTGCAACAGGAGCTACACTAGCAGAGGCCCAGTAGGACAAGAAATGGAGAGGAAGGCAAAGGAGTCATGAGGTGCCAGGCATGTGAGTGAAAGAGTCATGCTGGAAGGGTCACCCAGCCCCAGTCACCCCAGGTGACACCAAATTAATTACAGGGCCTAGATGGTCCTTTTCCAAATTTCTGACCCATAAAATGATGAGCAAAGTGAAATGATTTTTTTTACATAGTGACTATAGTTGATAATTTGTAAAACTGAAATTTGCTATGAGTAGAACTTAAATGTTCTCACCATATATATGTGTGTGTGTGTGTGTGTGTGTGTATATATATATTTATTTATATATACATGTATATAATCATCACAATGTACAATTGAA